TTTATATACGTAAATATTCTGTCCGGCCAAAGCTTACTCATGCTTGTTATTTTGGCTGGTTCGTAGGATTTCTAACAAGTATTTGGCTGAATAATCTGAAGCTTTGATGAATCATCCGAACTATGATGCGTGGATTCTCCTGGGTATGAGATGCGTATATATGTGATTGTGTGTGTCGTATTCTGCATATTATTATTTTTTATATATATTATTTATATTCAAAGTATACATGTGTAATCTTATACAGAGTATGTATGTATGTGGTATTGTAGTATTATATGTTTGCTATGTCCCCTATGTATATGTGTCGTATAGGAATATGTATATTAACTGTGTATAATTTTATACTTAGTACGTATGATATGTGTATTGGTATTATATGCATACGTATGTGTGTAACTCTTCAATTATTTATATATTATTCTTAAGAAGGCTATATAATTAAAGTTGACATTTTTTTATATACTCAATTTATTTTATACAGGTATTTATTTCTATTTTTATTTTATTTAAAATTTCGGAATGTCACAAATACAGTCCTTAAACTCAAGCATGCTTGTCAGATTAGGTATGGAGACCCCCTTATGCTCAGCATTATCCATAATAGTGTTAAAGTCCCCACCAACCAACCAAGGCCCATGAATGTTACTGGCATACTGAGTTAAATGCCCCCAAAGTTCCCTCCTCTCAACATGAGTATGTTTAGCATAAACTGCAGTAATCCAGCCAGTAGTAGACCCAACCATAAACTGAAAGTGAACAAACTGTGAATTCCAAGTAATATTAGAGATGTTAAAATTATTGGAATCCCAAAACAACCACACTTTATTTCTAGTATTAAAACTAACATCAGTAAAGCCAAACTCCATCTTGAAAGAATCTGCTTTAGTAAAATCAACCATTGGTTCAATAGCAACAAGAAAAGAAACCCTCCATTTAGATATCAAATGAGTTAGTCTTGGCCCGGAGGCAGCCAGGCCTCTCACATTCCAAATTAACCCATTCATTGAGAAAGAGGAGGAATAGTCTGTGATTGCCTCCTTGCAGCACTTCTGGTAACCATCCCACTTGATATCGGCTTAGTAGCATCCTTCTTCTTTCTTCTTCTTCCCACCTTAATAAATTCCCCCTCTTCTTCAGCTCCTTCCATTGATCTGGCTTTAACCTTGGCTAATTCTGACAGCAAATCAGTCTTTTCCTTCCTCTTACTAGAATTTAACAGATTTCTAACCTTAATGGAAAGATCATGTAAAGTCACTAACCACTCATCTTTGCTCTCTTTTCTGTGAGGAATTTCTGAATCTGACCTATAATCTTTGGATGCAAGTTCTAGGTCAAATTCAGATTCTTTCTCCTGATTGAGTAATAGACAGTCATCTATAATATTCCCACAAATCTTGGGTTTAGTAAGCCCATTTAATTCATTATTGACTGAACATTTATTGACACTGTGTTTACTGATTTGCTTACTTCCATTAGGTGGTTGCTCATGAAAGACTTCCTCAGTGTCAGTGTCTGAATCAATAATTTCTGGAATAGAGTGAACCTGTGAAGATGATGGCAGATACTGGGCAGATGATGGTGCTGGCTGGAACACAACAATTTTTGTGCCCTTATCTTGTAAAGTTTTACCTGATGTAATTTGTTGAGTACCCTTCCCTGTTGTAATAGCCTCAGTAATGTTCTTAGAGTCCTCTTTGGGTTTTTCTTTGATTACATGTTGTTTCTTAGCCACCCAGGCTGACCCCTTGGCCATAGGCTCAACCCTGGGAGTGATACCCCCTTCAGTAGCCCTCTTAGGACATTTATTGGCCTCATGTCCTAAGTGAAAACAAGCAAGACAATATTGGGGCCTGTATTCGTAAGTAATGGGCTGTGAAAATCCTGTCTTGCCCGTCTGAATCCAAACCTTATTTGGCATTTCCTTAGTAAGGTCCAATTCAACACAAACCCGAGCCTGAGATGGCCGAGCCAAAGTAGTTGTAGCTATATCAAGCTTGAGGGCTTCCCTATCAGTTTGGCAATTTCAAACATAGCCCGCTTATCTTGTAGATGAATGGGCAAACATTCTAATGTCAACCAAACTGGAACGACTGGAGATTCCACGTTCGGTTTGAAATCCGGGGACCATTTGGTTACCCTCATTATATTTCCATGAATATCCCATGTATGGCGATTCCAACATCGGATGTAATCTTCCTCTAAGTCAATTCTGATTAGGACGTGTTTTTTCTCCAACAGACCAATATGAAAGCCTCCTTTAAAACCTATAATCTCAAAGGATCTGTGAATAGTATTCATAGGCGGACGCCCTTTGAAAAAATATTCAACTAACGATCATTTATGCTTATCCGCAAGAATTTGAATAGCATCCTCCGAAAACGATATAGCCGGCATACCTTTGAATCGTGATTGAGTCGTAGAAAGTGTAGCATCTTCCTTATTGAGAAGAACCAAAACAAAAGAACGTTTGTTTCCATTCCAAGCATTCCCGGCCGCATGTGGTGGTTGTGCCAGCGACGGCGGCTCCGCCGTAGGTTTAGGGTTTTCGTTCATGAGCTCTCCTTCCCGCTCTTTAATTTCTCAAATACCACTCCCTCAAAAATAAATTCTCTCCGTTCTCGAATAATCAACGGAGTACTAGATTGCTGTTAGGGATATTGTCATGGTCGGTCCTAGGGCATGGGAAAAGGGGCATGCGCCCAGGGCCCATTTCTCCCCTAGGGCCCATAAATTTTCCAGTTATATATATGAGGAATATTTTGGTCAGTCCGAACTGACCAGACCGCCATAAGGCCAATCCCGCTTGAGCATCTTTTGGGTTGACTTTTTTAATGTAATTTTGTGAGCACGTTCTTCATGATATGTAAAACATTCACATAAAACTTCATCAAAAATTTCAATTGGGAGTTAGTTAAATAAATTCTTCAAAAACACTGCTCAAGCATATGCATAAAAATCCCAGTGTTTTTCAACAATTTATTTAACCGTTTTCAAATTGAGTTTTAAGCTGAAATTTTGAGTGAATGTGCTACACTTCATGCCGAAGATGTTCACAAAAGTTCATCAAAAAATGTAACTCGGAAAGCCCTCAAACGGGCTTGGCCGCAAAGCGGTTTCTGGTCAGTCCGAATTGACCAGAATTATATATATATATATATATATATATATATATATATATATATATAACATATATATATGTGTGTGTGTGTGTGTGTGTTTGTATTTTAATGTATAAAAATTTAAAAATAAAATCAAACTTATAATTTTTTCATTACGTTTAATTTTTTATTCAACATCTACAAACTACAATTCTAAAATTTTGAAACATCTATACCAGAATTGTTTGTAAACAAATTTCACACTTTATTTTTGATTCATTAAGTGTACGTTAGCGCATAAATGTCAACATTTTCTTCTACTTCTCTGAACTAATGATTCATTGATAGTATTTTGCTAATTTTTCTGTTCTCTCGTGTAAGTGAATGATTAAATTAGCGTACCAGGATTTAGAAACTTGCAATTTGTTTTAGTCTAGTGAAAATGTGAATCAAAATATGAAATTTTTTGTCCATGAACGATATAACTTTCACGTCTTTCCCCAATTCAAAATTATATACTATTAACAATCGTTCTACTTTTCCATTGAGCCGTTTTGGTACATGGTATTCTTGAATGTCAATTATCAAATACTTAAATAAAATCTCTCTAACCAATCTTTATTAATTTCTTTGATATGTTATACTCGTATTTGAATGAAAAAATGCTTAAATATAATTAATTATAGTTTTTTATAAAGAAATATAAAAATTCACACGTTGTCCTTAAGGCCTACTCTATATGTATCGCTCTGGGCCCATAAAATGCCAGGACCGGGCCTGGATATTGTTAGCGATCTACCTATGTTAGGAGAATTGGGCGTAATAGAATGTTAGGAATTGGGCCTATTAGAGCAAGAATAATAAGTGTATTAGATTAGTATAAATAGAAGAAGATGGGAGAAGTAAAGTAGGCTTTTGGGACTTTGGTCTGGGACCGGGAAAGATGAGAGAATCGCTTTCTCTTCTCTTTGGGAGGCTTCGGCCTTTGTTACTGTTACTATTTACTCCTTCAATAAAGATTTTCCACTGTTCTTGATATAATTTCTGCAATTTTTGTATATTTTGGAGGTCTTTATCATTGGTATCAGAACCGCGTCGATCGCTGGATGAGGTAAGCGCGCGCCAAGATGGAAGGACGAATCAATGAAGTGGAAAGAAATTAAAGTTGAGGGAGGCTAGAAAACATCAGCGCGGAATGCAGGTGAGTATAGAAAATATAGCAGCTAATATAGCCGCGATGCAAAGGGCGATGCAAGCTAGCATCGCAGATTGGCAGGTCAGAATTGCTGATCGATCGAGGAGTCAGTCCGACTGACTCAGTCGCATCGATCAAATAAAGTCCAGAGTCGCTTTGGAAAGTCAGGATTACACATCTCAACATATTAATAATCTTTAGAACAAAATAATTTTGGAATTGCAATGGAGAACTAAGCTTTGAAAGACAATACTTTTCAATTAAAGTGTGATATCAATTATTTTTTAATCCAGCAGGTAAAAAGGTTTTCTTAATTTAAGCTTCCAAGCTTCGGGTATCACTCTCTTCTTTTAAGCTTGACACAGTTTTCTCTAAGCTTAAAAGGTTTTCTTATTTTACACTTTTAAGCTTGGGTTATGGCTCTTCTTTAAGACTTGATATAGTCTTGTTTAAGTTTAAACGGTTTTTAGCACAATCTTTATCACTCTTCAACCCAGTTTTCAAATTCCCTAGAGTACTTGCCATGTCCCTACTTTTATCCCTAGCCAATGGTTCTTGAAAAATAGATTCTTTCAATAATCCATTACCTTTCAGATTTTGGCATACTGAGTTTGCCATTTATTTTGGCCTTTATCTCATACTTTTAACCTTTTTGTGAAAAAAGCTCTCCTTCTGCCTCCTTCCATCAGCCTATCATTATTTCTCTTTAATCTCTTCAATATAACATGATTCTTTATTTTCCAAGTGAAAGAAGAAAGAATAAGCTATTACAGTCATTCTTATCTCTTCTTTCCAACAATACACAAATAGCTGTAACATGTATGGCTGCTTTTTTTAATTTAACAATCAAAGCAAAAGTAACAAATCTTCTTAAACCTTTCTTTTATTTCAAATTGCTTTTGAATTTTAAGATGTTCAGGCTCCAAGTGTTTCTTTTCTGTTCTCATTTTAACATTTTTCCTGGTTTTATTATTTGGTAAAAGAGAAGAATAAACACTTAGTTTATGCAACTTATTTTGGAACCTTTCTTATTTATAAGAGATGTTATGTTTTAGATTGATGAGTTTTGAATGGTAAAGGAAATATACATAAAGTTTCAGGGTCACAGATCAAACTACCTTTAAATTAAGGCTTCACATCACAAAATTAAGATTCATCTATTGGGTTTTCATTGATTTGGTCAATGATCATTTCACTGCCTTTGCCATAATTCTGAACTGTAGAGGATTTTCTCAGTGCAGCTAGGCTTGAGCCAACAATAACTCCAACAGGCAATACTTTTTGCAAATAGCAGGTATCCTGGACATCAGAGAGGTGAGTGTAGGTTTTGTATTCTAAAAGTTTCAATTTAGAATGTTGTAGCTTCTACTATACACACACATTTTATGTTGAATAATTAACATGTTGTGTCTTATATGCTTCTATTCTCTCCAAGTATGTATGTTGTTTTTTCTTGGAGCATGGAAAATTAGTTTTGAATAAAGTGCTTCGATGAATCAATCTAAGTAGGGAATGACTTTGTAGTACTTTATAATAGGTAATATGCTTAGTAGTTCTACTATATTTTGTGTTTCAGAATGTCTTGATTCAAATGTCTTCTTTTGATTTACTTATATATATATATATATATATATATATATATATATATATATATATATATATATATATATATATATATATATATATATAGATTTAGGTTCATGTGAGAAACTAATCTTAGGAGAGGAAACAAGAATAATATCTACCGTTGGATTTGATTTTGATATACCGTGCGCCTAAACATTCATGAAGGGTATTCAAGTCAATTCCGTTTAAACATTCCTACGTTTCCTAAGTTACCGCCGCTGCATGTTTCCTTGAATAACCGTTCCTCCATGATTCTTTCCAAACATATCTTCCTCCTGCGTGCGCCTTCTTCTGTGTCCTTCTTCTCTTCGACCTGCATCGTTCTTGCTGCTGCGTTCATGTTCTCTCCTTGTTCGCAATTCATCCTAACAAATAATGTATTCATCGGATTTCTCCTTTTTCGTCTTTCCTTTTCTGGGTGCTCCATCTGTTGGTGTTTTTCCGCTCGAACCTAACGTTCTTCCATGGATTTCAGTAAGTATCGTTTTTTTTTAATTTGATCATTGTTTAAAATTGACAAAAGTTACGTTCCTTGACGATTATATGTGTAAAATATTTGTTTCAATTTCGATATGGTATTGTACAATTTTAACATTTGATTGTTACTTTTTTTCAATTTCGTAATCTTGAAACGCTTCTAGGGTACCGATGTCTTAAATATTTGATGAAAGAACTTTGTTATGTTAAAAGTGAATTTGTCAATATAAAACTGTTGCACTATAAACTGTATTATGATGCATTTGTGTTTGGACAAAACACTTTTACTGTAGTGGCGTTGTTCAATGCATGTGTTTTTGAACACTTTCTGTGCGTGTAGCTTAATCCTTCTTAACATACGTTAATATTTTATAAATGGTATTTTATTTATATTAAATTTACTGTTTTATTTGTCTTGTTCACTTTAAAGTTTATTATGCTGCTCTTATATGCTTTGTGATATTGCAGTTTTACTGTGGTCTTTGTGCTAAAGTACGTGTTTTTGAATTATTTGTCTGCATGGTTCAATTAGGTTCAAGTGACGTTAACTTCAGTATCTCTGCAGCAATTTCTCAATCCTTTGATGTTAATACTCTGTACTGCACACTTGAATGTGACCCTGCTTTCAAACCCCATGTTGGTATGTTGTTCAACAACTTACAGGATGGTATGCGTTTTTATGAGCAATATGCATCAATTTGTGGTTTTGAATCACGTAAAAGCAGTCAACATAGGGCTCGTGATGATTTAGAAACATATGGTGTGTAATAGACAGGGCTTCAAAAATGTATCTAAAGCTAAGACGGTTGCATCTAACACCGAGTCCTGTAAGAGTGTTGATTTAGATAATCAGTGTAGTAATGAAATTGAAGATTTTACTACTGAAAACGAATCATGTGAATCTGATGGATCTGAAAATGAAGACCAGCCTCATGGTGAAGATTTACCAACTATGGGCGTATGTGTTGATGATGACGAGAAAAAAAGACGCACAGTTTCTAATAGATGTGATTGCAAAGCACGTGCGGTTTATAGGCTTGCCGGCATGAATGGATACAAAATTCATTCTTTGAGGAGAGGCATAATCATCCTATGTCTTCTCTTTCTTCGATTCCATTCTTAAAAGTGAATAGGAAACTTGACATTGGTCATCAAATTTTTTTTTTGAATTGTGCTAAAGCAAATATTGGCACTATGAAATGCTACCGATTGTATAAGGAAACTGTCGGGGGTTATGCCAATATTGGTGCTACGTCCGTAGATTTTAAGAATTTTAAACGTGACTTGAAGGTTTATTTAGTTGGTGTAGATGCCCAAATGTTGATAGATAAGCTATTTAGAAAGAAAGAGATATGTTCAGCCTTTTCGTTTGACTATGATGTTGACGAGAGTGACCAGTTGACACGCATATTTTGGGCGGATCCAGTGTGCATAAACAACTATGCTTTATTCGGGGATGTTGTTTCCATTGATGCAACATATGCGACAAACAAGTATTGTTGTTATAAGTAATTATTCCCTTGATTAATTTATTTTTTTGTATATTTTTATTCATGCTATAATTTTTTTTCCGTATGCTTTGCACTGATAATCTAAAGTAGTGCACTTTCTAAAATCGATCAATGCACTTTTGATTTTTCTTTTCACCACGCAGGTATATCATGGTTTTTACCCCTTTCACTGGAGTCGATAATCACAAAAAGTGCATTACTTTTGGTGTGGGTTTGTTGTTGAAAGAGGATGTGGAATCTTATGCCTGGCTTTTTCGTTGTTTTCTAAATGCAATGGGTCGGGAACCAAAGTGCATCATAACAGATCAAGACCCATCCATGAAAATTGCCATTCTACAGGTATTTAGTACATCATGTCACAGATTTTGTATGTGGCATATTATGTCCAAGGTGAGTTCGAAAGTTGGACCGGTGTTGAGTAAAGATTCCAATTTTATGAAGGAATTGAATTCTATTGTGTGGAGTCATTACTTGGAGCCATTTGAATTTGAGATGAGATGGACTAATTTGATGAAAGAATATGACTTAATTCATCATAATTGGTTCTCGCACATGTTAGAGACTATGAGGTTGTGGATTCCTGCTTATTTTGGTGACATTTTCATGGCGGGTTTGCTTAGGACTACATCACGTTCTGAGAGTGAGAATATTTTTTTTAATGAATTCACAAATCCTAATTTCAGTTTGGTTGAGTTTTATATGCAGTTTGAGAGTGCACTTGATTCGCAAAGACATAAGAGTGCACAATTGACCAAAGTTTCTGAGTCCTCCATTCCTGAGTACAAGACTCCATTACATATTGAGAGATATGCTTCCTCTGTTTATAATCATTCAATTTTTATCTCGTTCAGAAGGAAATATGTTGTGCTTGCTTTTCTTGTGCTATTCTTAGTCTTGAACATGAAGGCTGCGTGTTTAAGTATATCATATCAGATGAACGAGGTTTTAATTTCACTGTTGTGCACAATACTACTGACGGTACTACACTTTGCTCTTGCAAACATTTTGAAAGGCTTGGGATATTGTGTCGTCATATATTTTTTGTATTGAAAGATAAGGTCAATACAATTCCAGATAGGTATGTGCTACGTCGATGGTGCAAAGATTCAATTCTAAAGCCTGTGAATGCATTCGAAGACGGTGTTTTTCAGCAGTGTGTTGGAACTGAAGAACAAACCTTCACTATGAACACATTGTGGTCTGATATTAATTTCTGTATGGGAATGATTGACCAGCACCCTCATTTGTTGAAGCAATTTTCAGATGCAATTAAGGTGCAAAAAGAATTATTGTCTAGCTCTCAAACAAGTAGTGCAACAACATCTTCCAAAAGAGATGTCATCAAAGGCTTTTATGGGTCATCGATTCCTATTAAAGTGAGCGTGCATCCACCTCAGCAGGCTCGAAATAAGGGTTGTGGTAAGAGGCTTAAAGGTGGGAAGGAGAAGGCAATTGAAGTGACCCAAAAGAATAAGAGATTATGTAGAAAATGTAATAAAAAAGGGTTTCATGACAGTAGGAATTGTCCTTTGAACTTGGAGGAATAATCATTCTTTTTTATTTATGTTTAGTAATTGTTTTTTATCTTGGAGGAATGATTTCACTTTTTTATTCGTTTTTAGTACTTTTCATTTTCACATGTACAAATTCTTATTCTTTTTAATATATTTGTTGGATTTGTTTTCTTTGTGTTTGTATTATGTTATATTATAAATTAGTATTGATTGTGCATTGTTATCACCCATTGTTCTAAAACTCGCTAGGCGCTAGTCAGGCGGTTGAAGGGCGCCTAGCGCCTAGGCGGCCGACTAGGCCGGTTTTTTGGCCGACTAGGCCGATTTTTAGACCGACTAGGCCGATTAGTGTTCCTCGGTTAGGGCCGCCTAGGCCGCCTAGGCCGATTAATCGGTCCGACTAGGCCGATTTTTAGAACAGTGTTATCACCTAATCGTTCATTGTTTTTGCCCAATAGTGCATTGTTAAAATTAATTGTTCCTGTTTTTAAAAATATAATACCACACAAATGACAATGCTTTGTTATCACCAAATCAAATTGTTCATGTTTAAAAAAACAAGTAGCCCCATAATAATACATATGCACTGTTACGTTTAAAAAGTGCATAACTTCATGATACATGTGTTCATATAATCAACAAAATCAAATTATCCATTTCATTAATCCCACCAATATGTTTTCATAATCACCAAAGAAGTAAGATGAAATTGTCAAAATAAATCCACAGTAACCTCAAAACTTAGTTTTGCACACAAAACAAGTTGATGTGCGTCTAACCACAAAACAAACGTGCAAGCCATTGCACATTTAAAAACCACAAATGTTTATAGATAAATATCCTTGCAAGAAAGATAGTAAATATAGAGTGCTAAAGTATTTTTTCACGTCTACTTCATCAAATTATTCGCGTTCCCAAATTCCTTCACCGCATTGAAGTGGTTGTCCTTTACCTCGTTAATACCTGATGTCAAAATTGATGCACAATACTTCATTCTCAATGCATTTAGTGCCTTTGCATCACCTTTTTTAACTCCACAATCCCGGCCTCTAGTCTCTTGGCCCATGTATGGATCCATATGTCTCATGCTCCACACTCCATAATCATACACATTCCTTGGTTCTCTCCACCTCATCTTCAATCTTGTGAAAGCAGGTGTGTAGAATGTGTTGTCGTCGGTGTCCAGTTCCATTTCGGTCATGAAATCAACAAACATGTCTCTCTGTTTTCAACATTTTCCAAAATAGTTTATTAAATCAAAATATACATAACTTCTTTAAACCATAATATACATTAAAAATTTGATTTTTATGTGTACTCTACACTAAACTCACCAGGGAATACGGCATTTCACCATACTTTTCGTCAAAGTGCATGTTCACCGAGGAGTTGTCCAACACTTCAACTTGCTGTTTTTCATGTTGAAAACCACAACATAACAATGTTCTGGTTGAACAATTGGAAAGAAGAACTGCACATTGAAGACATTTCACTATAATATACATACCATTGCACTAAAATAAATTATTTGTGCTTATAAGTGTAAATGATTTTTACCAAATCAACATCTTTCATTTGTACATCGGGTTTAACTGATTCCAATGCCAGCTCTATTCCTTGTTTAAACACTTTGTAAGACCTGTTTTCTGGGATTCGGTCTGGCATTGTGTACAACTGCAAAAATCTTTATCAAAATATGCACTTTTGTAATCAAATTAATGCATTTACATTCTTAACACTTACACAGGGATATAATTTCACAAACAGTCTGCACGGTGATGTGCGACTTCGTGGTTTCTCATTATTATTCAAGAAGATTGTCCACGCATCTAACTCGTTCATGTTCATGTGCTTTTTATCCCCTATGCTAATCATGTCTCCCCGTGTCACTGAAACCTGTTTATACTTGAACAGAATCGCTCCCCTAATTTTGCACAAAACAATACATAACTTAATATTATGTTTAACACTAAAAATATAAAGTTTTATACTTGTCAATGTTTTTTATATGTTATACCTCTTATCAGCTCGTTCTTGCATGACCCATTTCCACATCAACTTTTCACTTGTGCATGACGGTTGATTAGGGTCCACTGCTCGTGCAATAAAAGGAGACTTGGTAACTTGAGCTGGCTTTGTTGTCCTTCTTGATCTCAATTCCAGTTCATTTTTTCCTATAAGCAAATTGCTCCTTGTGTCCCTTTTATTATGTTCCTTGTTCTGCAATTTAAATGCACTTTTCAATTAAATGTCATTATGCTACCACAAATTAACATGCTATCTACAATCTTTAACTATTAAAAAACACTCAAGTTTTCCATTCATGAAAATGTAAACGTTACTTACCTCAACAATCTTTGCCTTTCCCTTCACATCCACAGATCTCACACCGCTCTCGACTCGCACCTTATACAAAATATAAAATAATACTTTATGCACAGTTACACATAACTAATTGCAATTTTGGATGTCATAAGTTTTTCACTAAATAAAAATTTAACCTTTGAAAATATTTAAATTTTACTTACTTCATCAATTTTTTCCTTCCCCTTCACACTCTTACTTCTAACAGCTCCATCTTTATGAACCTTCATAAAAATTAAAATAAAGATACTACTTTGCATTTAAAACAGTAAGTATTATATGCACAATATACTAGTAAACAATGCAGAGTTTGATTAACCAAATGCACATTTAATTTTTCTTAATTTTTATTAAAAATGAATACTCTAAAACTATTTGTACTCTATTTACCTCCACAATATTTTCTGTAAACATCGCTTCCTTTTCCTTCTCTGTCTTCGTTGTCACATTCTCTGCTCCTTGAACCTTCAAAAAAATGTAAAATTGTTAAATTATTTGTAAAAAAGCATTAAATATAATATGAGTTAGCGTTTACGTGTATACCAAATCATCATTAACTTCCTTCTCTATTGCAAAAAAAAACTTCCTTCTCAATTTCGGCGCACAAATCAGATATCGTGCAAAACTGCTGTTAATTTTCCTGTGTGAAACCAATTGAAAAAGAAGGAGTATCTTCAATTCCTTTCTCGTATAAAGACTTTTTCTGATTAGCATTTTCCACCCTCTCGACTGCAGCTAAGGTTTCAGCCCAGAATGCATCATCGTCTCTCTCTTGAGTACTTCTTCCATCAGTTTCTTCTCTACAATCAACTGTTTTTTCCTCTTCCCTACACCAATCAGTTCTTGTGCAGCTTCTTGGATCCTTATGAAATTTTCCTTTTCAGTTAAGCTCTTAGGTGCTTCTTCAAACATCTTGAGCACATCAATCATAGCTCATGCCACACTTTGCTTTTATGTGCAAATCTCTTAACATATTCCTGTTTTTATACATTCAAGTTATTTCCCCATTCATTTGCACACTTACACATTAACTGATGCTAAATTTAGGAAAATAGAATCACAATTTTACTTAACATTACCTCATCATTGTCACCACCAGTACACTGCACCTGTACTCCATGTCCACTTCCACCTTCATGATCTTTTTCTTTCCCTTCTTTCTTTTTTTTTCCCTTCTTTTAATTCAACCTTCTCCGAACAATCTTCAAATATCAGTGGGCCATCACAGTACCCCATCCCGAACTCGCCACTCTCTATTTCAAGCAATTCTCACTCTCTAAGAAGCTTTCCATTCCACCCTTTGAGCACAGGTAACGTCCTATCCACTCTTCTCCTACACAGCACCACTCTGTCGACATAGAACAACTGCACCAGAATCTATTGTTATTACACTTTACAAGCTATGAATAAAAATATACTTGAAAATGCAATAATCATGTTACTTCTAGTTGTTAAACTTACCGTTAAAAATAGCAATGGACCAGTGAATGCCTTATCCTTCTTCTCCCATGACATTTTACTATCAATTAGCACATTGAGTACATGGTCACACCAATCTATCTCCTTGATCTTTTCAACATTCTCCAAATGATTGATAATCATTAGATTCACATAGCCATTTTGTGTGCTGTCCAGAAGCAGTGATACAACCAGAACAATGAAATGCCTACAAAACCACTCACCGCCTTCTTTGATGCTAAGCATCTCTTCACTTACATCAGATGGGCTGATTTTGTAATCATCTTTCTCAAATATTGCTCTCCACTGTGTAAGCAATGCACATTCATCGTTCTTCCTTTTTTGTATTATTTTTTTGCCTCCTAATGGAAATCCCAAAACGCGGGCTACATCCTCCTCTGTTATACGAACCTCTCTACCATTGTGCAGCACCATTGAGCATGTTTTCGGGGTTGAAGTTATCAACCACCCAAAAACCCAACTTTCCTGGTATTTCACAAATTTCCAGCTTAAACAATGCACCAAAACCCATTTTGTGTATCTCCTCTTTCTGAACTTTAGTCATCACAGCAAGTGATTTAACAATCAAATTTGGTGATGATCTAGTTCTTATTGTCATATACATGGACTTGATATCTTTAATGCTCTCTTTCTTTTTTTCCTTGCTCACATTCGCAACTATCTCAGTTGCATCATTACCCTCACCTGGTTGTAATTCAAAATCATCATCACTTTCTTCTTCTACTAGTTGTTTCCTTTTCCTCTTCAACCTAAATTCGTTGTTTTCTTGTTCATCTGTGGTAGCTGGTTGTTTCCCTTTATTGTTCATCACCACCTGCAACTTTGTTTCTCCACTACCTGCATATTGAAAACGAATGCACTATATCATTCCATTTATGAACATATTACATTCACTTAATGCACATTCCAAACACCACATTAAAATTAAAATATTCAATAATGCTATAAGGATTTTACTGACCGTTTACAGATTTGTTGCACTTATTAACTAAATTTCTTTCACATTCACATAACAATAATATGAATACATTTAAAGTATGCACTCTACGCCTTTTCTATCACACAAACAAGCTGTTTAATCACCCAAATTATGCATTCATATCACAAATGGATGCACTTTAATCCAAATGCATCTGCATGATAGAGCTAATTATGTTGATCACATATACAAACCGTTCATGCACTATATCATTATATGTATGCAGCTATCACCTTCTGTTTGTGCACATTACAATAACATGCATCCATAGCAAAAAAATCATCATTCATATATACAACCAATCGGCTATTTCAATTTTTACTGAACTGGTGCAGTGCTTCACCTTCATGCACTGTCACAAACCAACAATATGAAATCATACCAAATTCACAAAACACACTTTTTCTATGCACTCTACAACTTTTTAATCACTCAATCTTGACTCTTGACTTCCTTTTTCCGATTATTTCTTTATTCTTCATTCAATGTTGCAGCAGAACATACTACCCATATGCACAAACTAATAAACAATCCTCACTTTGTATTGTTTTTCATGAAAAATGCTTCACAAAGTTCATCAAAATCGTCTTGTTTAGACATGCATTGAATCCACAACATGAACTTGTTAATCGAATAAAATTAATCACAAAATCACTGTAGGTAATCGGCGTACCTGTAGCACTTTTTGCACTCCCTGATGCTCCGTCCTCTTCATTCGTCGTTGTCATCCTTCTTCTTCCAAGCCTTCCTAGGGTTTCGATGCTAGTGGACGCCTTCCCGGTTGAGTTCCTCGAGCTCTGGTCGTTTCTGAGTATAAGTCTGCGCAATGAAGGAAGTTTTCTCTTTTACGAATACAGAGGCACATTAAGCGGGATTTCTTGCCATATAGGAACTCGTGCGGCCCAACCGCCATAATTAAGCACCAGTCTTTTACCCATTTACCCTTTAAAGTGCACATTTCAGATTTTAAATCTGCCACGGACGCATCATGTGCGTTTTTTAAGTCACAAAATTGGTCATCACAGCTGCACGATTGAGAGAATGGAGGGTCCTATCTTGTTCTTTTTTGCTCTCTTAAGAGGGTGTTCTCACCGGAACCACCACCACCCTTTATATATATATATATATATATATATATATATATATGTGTGTGTGTGTGTGTGTGTGTGTGTGTGTGTGTGTGTATGAAGTCATTTGTCTTTCAGCGTTTTGGCCTTTAGAGTAGTCATTGTGGCCGGTCATCCTATTTTTTCTAATAAATTTACACCAAAGATAATTTAGTTGAAATTATATTTAGGAATATCAACAAATTCAAAGTCTAAAAATTTTAATATTTATTTCATCAACAATAATAACAACATCCAAGCCTAGTCCCAAAAGATATTGGGGTCGGCTAACATGAATCGATACATGATATCACCACCAAAAGGAAAAGAAAGAAAAAAAAGAAAAAAAGATAAGCTATTATAAAAAGATAATATAAAAAGAGATGATTATACATAAAAATGATAAAATAAAAAGGACACAAATAATGCTTATATATATAAGGATTAAAAAAAGGGAAAAAAGATGGGGGAAAGGAAGATACGGGATCACTCCTCCACATGAATACCCGCCCTTCACTTTCCTCTCTCCAAAGTCATGCCCTCATCCAACCCCAGAAGAAGCATATCACTTCGAACTCCCCTAACTCACCTCTGTTTGGGTCTTCCTCTCCCTCTCTTCCCTGCCTCTTCTCCACACATCTCAACTCGTCTGTGGGTGCATCACCCGGTCTTCTACGCACATGACCAAACGACCGTAGGCGCGACTCCTGCATCTTGTCTTCAATAGGTGCTACTGAGCTACTCCCACACTTTGTCTAATTGTCTCATTCCTCACGCGATCCTTCCTAGTATGCTCACACATCCAACGCAACATGCACATCTTTGTCACACTCATCTTTTGAATGTGACATTGTTTCACCGTCCAACACTCTACACCATACAGTAATGCAGGCCCAATTGTTGTCCTATAAAATTTACCCTTCAGTTTAGTCGGCATACCTCGATCGCATAGAAATTCTGACGCACTCTTCCACTTCATCCACCTATTCTGATTCTATGGGATACATCTCCATCTAACTCACCGTCCTTCTGAATTATGAAGCCCAAGTAACGGAACATATTCCGCTATTACCACTGCTTCTACCTCCACCAAACTTGCACTCCATGTATTCTGTCTTGCTCCGACTTAGTTTGAAACCCTTATTTTCTAATGTTTGTCGCCATACTTCCAACTTTGCTTTAAGACCTGATTGTGTCTCATCAATCAATACAATATCTTTGGCAAACATCATGCACCACGGTATATCATCTTGAATTGACTTCGTAAGTTCATCCATGACTATGGCAAATAAGAAAGGGCTCAGAGCCGATCCTTGGTGCACTCCGATAGTTATAGGGAACTCTTCAATCCTCCCTACACTAGTACGGACACTTGCAGTACAATCTTCATACATATCTATGATGATGCTGATATAGTTGCTTGATATTTATTTCATCATATTAATAAAAATTCATCTCCACTAACTAACACTACAAAATAATCATAACAATAATGATAACAATAATTATAAAACCAGTTAACAATGTGAACTAGAATTTTAAGTATAATCAAATCTTATTATTACTCCTAGAAAATTAATAATTAAATTAATTAAAAGTTGGGAATACTTACCAAATTGAGCAAATCACTGCTATTCAAGGTAAATTAAAAGAGATGCGCGTTGGGCGTTGCCTTCAACTTGACGACATTGACAACTCGCCGGTACTTGTCACTGCCAATGATCGAGTCTTCTGTCTCCGCCTGCTCGTGCTATTGCGCCGTTGTATAGCTTTACGGTTGGTTCCAGCCAACTTCGAAAGTTGCGAGCTAGAAATTGATATGTAATTAAAAAAAATAAGAATTCACAATAGTTGTCAACCTAATAGCCACTGCGTGTCTCAGTTAGTATTTAAAATAATTGTTTAATATACACTTCGAATCTTATATAATAACTGGTGAATTTATTTCAAAAAAAATTGAAGTAAAAAAAATAACGCATCAGTTATTATTAAGGAACCACTAAGCATGCATATGCCGTACTTTTTTAATACAATTTTGAAATTATCGCTTTTGTTTTTTAAAAAAGAAAATTATCGCTTTTGTATAGTAGTAGCACAAATTAATTTTTTTCCACTACTGTGATTTTTTTATAAAAACTTTGAAATTTAAAAGTAAAATTTTGAATGAGAAAATTGAAATTCTAAACTTAAACTTCATGGCATGTCCTCACATGGGTCATGTCGACATGTCTATAATCTATATATAATACTCCCTCAGTCCCCAATCATCATAGCTATAAATTAAAGTTTACATATTCTTTTTACAATTCTGCAGATTCGGCCAGAATTTCATCAATTTAGCAGATACAAAATTTTAGACAAAAATAACGAAGTGTTTTTTATGTATTTTTTTGTACAAACTAGTAAACTTTTTGGTCCAGTCGAATATAAAGATTTTTTTTTGGGAAAAAGATAATTAATTAATATTAATCAAATCATTGTCAATTACAGAAGAAATAATCAATGGGGGAATAGTAAACCAAGATTGAGAATCAGACAAAGAACATACCGCCTTAGCAATAACATGAGCCACATTGTTCGCTGACCGTGTAACGTGAGAAAAAGAGATGTTAGAAAAATTCTTTGCAAAATTTCTAATGTCATCTGCCACCGGCCCATAGTAAGAGCTGCTCGAACCCTTCAAAATTTCCGAGTCATGAAACCCTGAACACTAAACTCGAAACACTGAACCTTGAACCATGAACCCTAAAATCCTAACCCCGAAGCCCGAATCTAAAACTACGAAACATGAACGCCGAAACCCGAACCCCGAACCTCGAACCCCGAACCCGGAACTCGGAACCCTGAACCGGAACCGGAATCGGAACCCGAAACCCAAAACCCAAAACCCGGAACCCAGAATCCGAAACCCAGAATCCGGAACCCAAAACCCTGAATCGAAACCCTGAACCATGAACCCGGAACCCAGAACCCGGAACCCTAAACTCGGAACTCGGAACCCGGAACCCTTAACCCAAAACCCTGAACACCGAACCCCGAACCCTGAACCTCGTACCCCGCCTCATAGGCCCCGAGGTAGTTACTTCTGACCTCTAGTACTGTCCTCAAAAACCGCCACTAGCCTTTTCCGCGCACTTTGTCCTCACTCGTGCGCGGAAAAGGCTAGTGGCGGACTTGTTCCCTTAACAAGCTCACGTGCGGCCTTAGCTCCTTTCTGCCCCTCGCAGTAGCTAAGTCAGCCTGGACAACTCCTTAGTGTTGTGTGTGCTTAAGTGCTTGGCTAGAAGAAAATGTGGTAAAGGCAAGAACACTTGAAGAAAGCTTGAGACTTTATTGAATGCTTGGAAACTTCGATGTGTACAAATGAACCACCTTGAGGGGTATTTATACTTGCCCTCCTCCTCAATGGATGGTTGAGATCTACTTGATCTAACGGCTATGGTTTAATTCTAGAATATTTTATACAACTCTATCATATTCTAGAGTATTCTACTATACTCTATACAAGTGTACATGTATCTACACGAGTATAGAATATTCTCTTAGCTCCAATACCTTTAAGATGGCGAAGTCTTGGGAGGAACAAGCCGATCTAGCTCGTTCGTGTTTGGAGAAAGCACGCAAGCGGATGAAGAAGTGGGCGGATGAGAAGAGGCGGCCAAAGGAGTACACCGTGGGGGACTTAGTCTTTGTGAAGCTCTTACCACAACAATTCAAGGTATTGAGAACCTTACACAAAGGCTTAGTCCGTAGATCGGCTTGGGGCCATTCCCGATTATTGCTAAGGAAGGAAAAGTTTCGTATAAGCTCGACCTACCCAGCACATTGAAGATTCATCCGGTCTTCCACGTAAGTATGTTGAAGCCTTATCATGGGGATGAGGAAGACCCAAGCCGGGGGTTATCAAGCCGAGCACCGCCTGTAGTCACTAAGTCTTACGACAAAGAGATTGAAGACGTGCTCGCAACAAAGGAGGAGGGCAAGTATAAATACCCCTCAAGGTGGTTCAGGGTTCCGGTTCAGGGTTCAAAGTTCGGGGTTCCGGGTTCAGGGTTTAGGGGTTCGGGGTTCAGGGTCCGGGGTCGGGCTCCGGGTTCCGGGTTCTGGGGTCCGGGTTCCGAGGTCCGGGCTCTGGGTTCTGGGCTCCGGGGTCCGGGTTCCTGGGTCTGGGGTCTGGGTTCCTGGATTCCTAGGTCCGTGTTCCGGGGTCCGGGTCGGGGGTCCAGGGTCCGAGTTCTGAAATCTTTGTTCCTGGGTCCGGGTTCCGGGGTCCGAGGTTCGGGGTTCGGGGTCTGGGGTCCGGGTCTGGGTTCCTGGGTCCGGGGTCCGGATCGGGTCCAGGCTCCGGGGTTCGGGATTCGGGATCCAGGGTCCAGGGTTCAGGGTCCAGGGTTCCGGGGTCTGGGTCCAGGTCCGGGTTCCGGGGTCCAGGTCTGGGGTCGGGTTCCGGGTCCGGAGTCCGGGTTTCGTGTCTGGGGTCCGCGTTTCAGGTTCCAGGTTCCGGGTTCCGGGTTCCGGGGTCCGGGTTCTGGGTTCCGGGGTCCGGGTTCCGGGCTCCGAGGTCTGGGTTCCGGGGTCCGGGGTCTGGGTTCCTGGGTCCGGGTTTCGGGGTCCGGGTCTGTGGTCCAGGGTCCGAGGTCCGAGATACGAGGTACGGGGTCTGGGTTCCTGGGTCCGGGTTCCGAGGTCCGGGGTACAGGGTCTGGGTTCCTGGGTCCGGGATCCAGGGTTCGGGGTCCAGGCTGGGTCTGAGCTTCGGGGTCCGGGATTCAGGATCCGAGCTCTGGGCTCCGGGTTCCGGGGTCTGGGGTCTTGGCTCCGGGATCCAGGGTCTAGGGTCCGGGGTTCAGGGTCCAGTATCCTGAACCCTGAACCCGGAACCCGGAATCTAGAACCCTGGAACCCGAAACCCTGAACCACGAACCCGGAAACCTGAACCCTGAACCCGGAACCCTGAACCCAGAACTCTAAACCCAGAACCCTGAACCCCGGAACCCTGAACCCTGAACCCTGAACCCGGAACCCCGAACCCCCGAACCCCGAACCCCGAACCCAGAACCCCGAACCCGGAACCCCGAACCCTGAACCCCGAACCTCGAACCCCCGAACCCCCAAACCCCGAACTCCCGAACCCGGAACCCCGAACCCTTAACCCGGAACCGGGTCCAGGCTCCAGGGTCTGGGTTACGGGGTCTGGGTTACAAGGTCTGGGTTGCTGGGTCCGGGGTTCAGGGTCCGAACCGGGTCCAGGCTCCGGGGTCCGAGATTCGGGCTCCAGGTTCCGAGGTCCGGGTTCCGGGGTCCGGATTCCTAGGTTCGGGTTCCGGGGTCCGGGTCTGGGGTCCGGGGTCCGGGGTCTGGGTTCCGGGGTCCGGGGTCCGGGTCTGGGGTTGGTGTCCGGGGTTCCAGGTTACGAAGTCCAGGGTCCGGTTTCAGGGTTTTGAGGTCTGGGGTACGAGGTTTCGGGTTACGGGGTCCGGGTTCCGGGGTCCGAGGTCCGAGGGTTCTGGGGTCCAGGGTTCCGGGGTTCCGGGGTCCGGGGGTTCTGGGGTCTGAGGTTCCGGGGTTCCGGGGTCTGGGTTCTGGGTTCCGGGTTCCGGGGTGCGGGTTCCGGGGTCCGGGGTTTTGGGTTCCGGGTTCCGGGGTCCGGGTTCTGAAGTCCGAGGTCTGGGGTCCAGGTTCCAGAGTCTGGGGTCCGGGGTCCGGGGTCCGGGTTTGGGTCCGGGTCCGGTTTCCAGGTTCTGGGGGTCGGGGTCTGGGGTTTCAAGTTACGTGGTCCAGGGTCCAGTTTCTGAGGTCCGGGGGTCGGGGTCCGGGGTTTCGGATGTCCGGGTTCCGAGTTCCGGTGTCCAGGGTGCAGGGTACGAGGTTCGGGTTCCGGGTTTCGGGGTCCGGGGTCCAGGTTCTGGGTTCCGGGTGTTTCGGGTCTGGGTCCGGGGTCCAGGCTCCGGGGGACCGGGGTTTCGAGTTCCGGGTTCACATGCAATTCTTTTGAAAAAAGACAAAATTTTATGCCGGACCCCGGATAAGTTTCATATCATATCCATCTTGTATATGATATGGATACAGTTTTTGATATGGATATGGATATCATATCCATCTTGATATGGATAAGTTTCACATCTTACGGCTGCTTTGTTACTTGGGCTAGATTGTTGCGTTAATGATATGGATACAATTTTTAATGCATTTTTAGGTGTAACGGGGACAGTTCCATTTGGCTAACCATTACTCCCTCCATCTCCAAAAGATCTTATTCCAAACACTTCTATGTCTCAAAAATAGACACCTTTTTTTATCTATTTATGTCATGCAAAAGGTGACAGTAACACATACATAGTAATATAGGGAAAAAGGGTCAAATAGACCCTTGTATTATTTGCAATCTAGCACTTAAGCCTATCTACTAAAAAACATCATATAAGTACGTTTACTTTTTAAACATAATCAATGAAGTCACTTTGACCTGCTATAACAAGTTATTTTTTAAAAAATAAATATTAGAACTATTGATACATCTTATAAAAGTTCATATAAATTTGAAAAATAATACTACGGGTATTACAATAATATAAAAATAGTATAAATGTAAAAATAGGTAAATAATTTAAAAACTGATGAAATATAGTGAAAATGTAAAAATTTAAAACAATAAAATGCAAATAACTTCAAAAATTAAAAAATATCGACTTTGACGTTCTAAAATTTCTCACAATTTTAAAAACATCATATTTTAAAAATATTTTAGAGATTTTTTATATTAAAAAACTGCTATTATAGGTCAAAAACTGAATAAATGACCAAACT